CCGAACAATTCACGGCCCAGGACATCATGGTCTAAGGATGTCATCATCAACCGTCCAAAGACAATTCTCATAGTCTGAAGGGAATCTGCATCATGTTTAAATTTCCGCACAAATATATACTTGTAGTATCTCTTTACATGCAGGTGACCCGATAAGCAACCACTACCCCAACAGGAGCAATCCCGCTCCAGTTCTTTCAAATTATCTCAAATCTGACCGCTCACCATAACCATCTTTCCACCCATTCCAAAGTCTCGTGTCCGTTCTTGTGATGACTTCATCGGTATATTCCTCCTATGAATCCAGAACTACACATGGCCTGATTTCTGTAAAGCAGGGATATGTAGGCAGCTCAAAGACCAGGGTTCGGCCTATATTTTCCAAAACGCCCATTCGGTCAAAATTGGCCATCATTTCTTTACTCGAAAACTCTTTCATCCTTCCCGGATAAAGAGGGGCAACTGTTGATACCCAATTTTTCCCTTAATACTTTTTAAGTGCATATATACCTTCAAACTATGCATTAGCATCAATTGATATTTTTCCATAATTTCTATATCTTAAAATTAATTTATCCTAGTATTTTATTTATATAAATAATTATAAATTGCATCATAAATGACTTTATAACCTTTCATGACTTAATATTGCTATTTATAGTTATATTAGGTTCAAATTATTTCACAAATGGCCAGATTTATACCATTTGGTTACAATTGCAATAATTTGGCAATTATAGCCCATGCATACATCACTGCATTATTTTACCAGAAATTGGTCCATTATATTTTTAAAATATTGAATAATTATTTTAAAGCACTTCTATGCATGAAAATTATTTTTTCTTATTGTTAATCATTTTATAAAATAATTTTTATTCAACTACTTGGGTATTTAATAAATAGCCCTCTTATCTTCAAATCTAACCCTTTTAAAACCAGCCCAAATAACCCCTCTATATTAACCCAATTCCCTTAGGCCCAAACCCAAACCTGCCTGACCCAATACCTTATCTAATCCTGACCGTTGATCGTTTTGATCAACGGTCCACAACCCTCCTTCCATAATTAACCTAAATGACTCCCCCCCCCCCACAAACCCTCTCATTTCTCTCCATCACCCCGCCGTCATTATCTCTCTTCTCTCTCAGCTCTCTCCATTAAACCCTAGTTTCTCAGGCGCCGTCACCGGCGTATATGTCACCGTTGTGATGCTTTCTTGTCTTCTCCGGCCAGTCTTGGCCTCTTACATGCCATGGCTCCTCGACTTCTTAGATCCTTGAGGGGATCTCAAAGAACCTAGTTGGTTCAGGTTTGAAACTCTACTTGTTAGCCTGTGTCAGGCCATTTTATCGACTGTGAGTGAGAACTCCTCGTTATTTTGTTACGAATCCATGGTTTCTAAACTTATGATCTCATCTCTGTTATGTTTCCAAAAACCCTAGTCTATTACCTTCGATCATTTCCAGATTTGTATATATCTGAGACGAATCGAGCATTATTACATGTTTTTCTCTGAAAATTTCTGGTTTTAATCATTTGTTCTTGCTTTTCCCTAAAACTAGGGTTCATTACGAGCTGTTTTTCAAAGGCTTTCTGACTTCTAGATGTTTAATCGTTTCTATTTTTCATCTTCTTGACCGATTTTTGCAAGAGTACTCGAACCCTAATTGACTTTATGTAATATACTGATCTTTCCAATTCTTGCTTCGATTTTGGGTCTTTCCGTGTTACCAATCATATTAATTTGCTCTGTATCTTCTGCCTTGCATGTTTTCCTTCGTCAAATCTAGTATTCTGTAATTTTACCCTAATTGAGCCCTATTAGGGTTCTAATCTAGTTTTTCGGCTAATTTCTATATTTTTGTGAAGACTTTATTTAATTTATTTTTCTATTTATGGGAGTTGATATATTCTTTCCCGAAATCATTGTTACTTTGAAATTTGGCCAACTGATTTGCTCTGTTAAAGATTTGTATGCCTAAGTCTTGCCTGTTTCCCTATTTACGACCTTAATTTTTCATTCTTGCCTCATTTGATTACCTCTATATTTACTGATTACTTTACGTGATTCTTCCCTTAGTTAGACCCCTGATTATTTTATTCTGAACTCCTTTATTTTGTTTGATTTGAACTTCTTTCCTTAATTAGACTCCTTATTATTACCGTTTGGCTAATTGCCCCTAATTAAAGGAGTCTATTCTGAACTCCTTATGTGATTGGATTCGGATTGCCCTTAATTGCTGTTTTCTGATTCTTTTACCTTATTGGCTCTACTCTTGAACTGCTATATAAGCACTCTCATTCTTCTCCTTTAACACACGAACACACTGTTCAGAATACACACACATACATTCAAACCCTCTCTTCTTTCTTTGTTACTTGTGCTAACTGTTGGTCTAGTCGGCTGAAAGCCAAGGCTAGATAGTGGAATTGCACCTGTATTTACATTCTGCATTTTCTTCTTTAACTATATGTCTCTAGTTAAATTTTGAAACTCAACTTTATGTGTTCCATGTCTATACATCCATGCTTGTTCATGTACTAGTTATTCAATTTGTGTCTCTATTTGCTGTTATTAAGCATGTCTGAATTTTGCCTTATGTGTAATCAGCATGTTTACTTAGTTCCCTTACCCCCCCTCCCCCCCCTA